GCCTGTGGGCCACATGTGGCCCGCCGAGGACATTTACCTGGCCTGCTGGGTGTTTTTGCCACTGCTGCCTGTCCTGCTTAGCAGCCGACTTGTCCTGGGCCCGTAGTTCGGCCCTCCAACGGTCTGAGGGACAGTGAATTGGCCCCATGTTTAAAAAGTGTGAGGACCCCTGGCTTAGGGGCTCCATGAAAAAAATAATCTAAGTCATTAAGGGTGCTTGAACAGAAAAAGTTTAGGGACCTCTGCCCGAGTGATGAACAAGATAGGAAGAATCTGGGTCCCAGTGAGTTCTCAATCTCATGCAGAACCCCTCATAGCTCCTGCATTATCTACCTACCTCTGGACTACTGCATGTGAAAAAAAAAACTTTCTTGTTATAGCATTGTATTGGGGGCTTTCTGTTATAAAAGCTTAGCATACATTATAGGTACCCTGCCAATATCCTTTCAGCCCTCCACAGAGGTCACCTGCAGGTAGTTTCTGTACTTGCTGATGCTGCCTGAGCTTCTTTGCCTGAGGATGTTCTTTATACCTAGGGCCAGGGAGTTTCTGCTTCAGGAGTGGTTAGGTTAATATTCCAGCTCCCTTGCCTCTCAGGAAAAATTCTGAGGCATATTCAATGGACCCTCTTGAAAGATCTGAACCCCAGTGACACTGAGCCCCAGATACCCACAGTATCCTATTCATCAACATCTGCTTTTTTTTGGCCAGGGCTGGGTTTGAACCTGCCACCTCCAGCATATGGAGCTAGTGCCCTACTCCTTTGAGCCACAGGCACTGCCCTCAACAATTGCTTTTTTGGTTTTCCACTCTTTTCTCTCTCACTTTCTCAACCTCTCACCATGTTTTCTGGAAATATCTTCAATAATAAACTAAAGTTCTTTGTCTCTTGGGCTTTTGTAGGACCCTAAACTAAGAGAAGAATTGGGTAATAAACACATTAAGATGTTCAACCTTACTAGAAAGTGGCCAATTGTAATGAGGACAGCATAGAACAGAGATAGAAACATTAGCCAGCTGTGGTGGCACACACCTGTAGTCCCAGCTACTTGGGAGGCAGTAGGATTGCTTGAGTCGAGGAGTTTGAGGTTGCAGTCAGCTATGATGCCCCCACACTAACCTGGGCAATGAAGC